TCCTCTCGCATCTGAAAAAAAGGCGTGAGTCACAAAAAGCATATATTAGTTTACGTGAAAAGTTCGTAACAGACTCTCTCGTGCAACATCAAAGTGGTGATCATCCCTGTGCATGACAGAGCCGGTCGAGGGTAGCGCTTCGCCTGTTTTGCTCTTTGTAGTTTTGTTTAAGATATATATGTATATTGTTATCATGATTTGTGTGTTATAACATTTCATGTAGCTATGTATATATATCTGTGTGTGTGTGTGTGTGTGTGTGTGTGTGTGTATGTGTATGTGTATGTGTGTGTGTGTGTGTTTGTGTGTGTGTGTGTGTGTGTGTGTGTGTGTGTGTGTGTGTGTGTGTGTGTGTGTGTGTGCATGTATGTATGAATATATATATACGTACATATATTTTTATATGAACACAAGCAATGTAGCCCAACACGCCGACGCACTCTATCAGAAAATTAAAATCTTCTTCTCTCGCCTTCCCAGACCGCCCACTGCCTCCAGAGGACCTGCCCACTTCCAGACACGCCCACCTTTCCGAACGCATCAAGTCGGTGAAAGAAGCCATGATTTTGCCAGTACAGGTGAGTCCTTGGCTTTCGTGAGTGCGAGGGGGGAGGGGGGAGGGGGAGGGAAGAGTATGGGGCGTGGGTACGTGTAAGGGGGGGGGTTGTGTGTGTGTGTGTGTGTGTGTGTGTGTGTGTGTGTGTGTGTGTGTGTGTGTGTGTGTGTGTGTGTGTGTGTGTGTGTGTGTGTGCGTGCGTGTGCCTGTGTTTATATTTAAGTTTATTGAGATTTTACATCTTAAAATGGCGGTGAGAGAGAGAGAGGGAGAGAGAGAGAGAGAGAGAGAGAGAGAGAGAGAGAGAGAGAGAGAGAGAGAGAGAGAGAGAGAGAGAGAGAGAGAGAGAGTGCGTGCGTGTGTATGTATGTGTGCGTGTGTGTGTGTGTGTGTGTGTGTGTGTGTGTGTGTGTGTGTGTGTGTGTGTGTGTGTGCATGCTTATAGGCAAATTTAGATTCTAAACGAGAATACTGATTAATAAGAAAGAGGATGGCATAAATAGAAGTAACTGTAAATTATGCTTATGCTACAAGTTTGATAAGCTTTTCAAATACTAACTTTTTGATATAGTGTCTGATATGTAATATGACTACAAAATAACTGTCATTTTACATCATAAATTATACGATAATAACAGCTACATCATCATCGTATTCTTTTAGTTCGAACAAACTTGTTTCATCACACCCAGTAACGTTCTTTATATAACCCGGAACGCTCTACTTTTCGCTCCACGTACCGTAATTAAGGCATCACACTTCCTAGTTTTTCTACGCAAGGGTGTAGTGCTTTCTAGAGTCACCCATTCGAAACTCGTGGCAAAACGTCTTCCCGTTTTCTTTATTTTGCTGCCATGAAAGTCTGCCCAAAGTGTACATTATGTCCGCGAACTGTGTCTGGTGCAATGGAATGCTGGGTTTACGCGGCACAGTTTGTTCACTTTGGCAATAATTTGAAAGTTTTTTTTTATGAAGTCGTTAATGTTGCAATGTGCAACTGAAGACTGCGGTTTTTAAAACACAAAAAAACGATTAAGGTTAGTCCATTTGTATTTATATTTGGCACAAGGATTCGTTACGACCGTTTGAAATACGTGTTGCATTTTTTACTTTCTGACTTAAATGCAGTATAATTAATTTCAAAAATATCATACGTATGTTTCAGAATGAGGCTTATGACCCGGCAGCCTCACCCGAAACGCCGGTTGAGGATTTCAACTCTCACACATATGAGGATATCTTAGCAACGGCCATCCTCAATAGGTAAGTGCACTGCGGTATATAACGTGCATTTGATGTGGACGTGCACACACACATCTCTCTCTCTCTCTCTCTCTCTCTCTCTCTCTCTCTCTCTCTCTCTCTCTCTCTCTCTCTCTCTCTCTCTCTCTCTCTCTCTCTCTCTCTCTCTCTCTCTCTCTCTCTCTCTCTCTCTCTCTCTCTCTCTCTCTCTCTCTCTCTCTCTCTCTCTCTCTCTCTCTCTCTCTCTCTCTCTCTCTCTCTCTCTCTCTCTCTCTCTCTCTCTCTCTCTCTCTCTCTCTCTCTCTCTCTCTCTCTCTCTCTCTCTCTCTCTCTCTCTCTCTCTCTCTCTCTCTCTCTCTCTCTCTCTCTCTCTCTCTCTCTCTCTCTCTCTCTCTCTCTCTCTCTCTCTCTCTCTCTCTCTCTCTCTCTCTCTCTCTCTCTCTCTCTCTCTCTCTCTCTCTCTCTCTCTCTCTCTCTCTCTCTCTCTCTCTCTCTCTCTCTCTCTCTCTCTCTCTCTCTCTCTCTCTCTCTCTCTCTCTCTCTCTCTCTCTCTCTCTCTCTCTCTCTCTCTCTCTCTCTCTCTCTCTCTCTCTCTCTCTCTCTCTCTCTCTCTCTCTCTCTCTCTCTCTCTCTCTCTCTCTCTCTCTCTCTCTCTCTCTCTCTCTCTCTCTCTCTCTCTCTCTCTCTCTCTCTCTCTCTCTCTCTCTCTCTCTCTCTCTCTCTCTCTCTCTCTCTCTCTCTCTCTCTCTCTCTCTCTCTCTCTCTCTCTCTCTCTCTCTCTCTCTCTCTCTCTCTCTCTCTCTCTCTCTCTCTCTCTCTCTCTCTCTCTCTCTCTCTCTCTCTCTCTCTCTCTCTCTCTCTCTCTCTCTCTCTCTCTCTCTCTCTCTCTCTCTCTCTCTCTCTCTCTCTCTCTCTCTCTCTCTCTCTCTCTCTCTCTCTCTCTCTCTCTCTCTCTCTCTCTCTCTCTCTCTCTCTCTCTCTCTCTCTCTCTCATTTTACATATAAATTATACGATTAAATAACGCTACATCATCATCGTATTCTTTTAGTTCGAACAAACTTGTTTCATCACACCCAGTAACGTTCTTTATATAACCCGGAACGCTCTACTTTTCGCTCCACGTACCGTAATTAAGGCATCACACTTCCTAGTTTTTGTACGCAAGGGTGTAGTGCTTTCTAGAGTCACCCATTCGAAACTCGTGGCAAAACGTCTTCCCGTTTTCTTTATTTTGCTGCCATGAAAGTCTGCCCAAAGTGTACATTATGTCCGCGAACTGTGTCTGGTGCAATGGAATGCTGGGTTTACGCGGCACAGTTTGTTCACTTTGGTAATAATTTGAAAGTTTTTTTTTTTATGAAGTCGTTAATGTTGCAATGTGCAACTGAAGACTGCGGTTTTTAAAACACAAAAAAACGATTAAGGTTAGTCCATTTGTATTTATATTTGGCACAAGGATTCGTTACGACCGTTTGAAATACGTGTTGCATTTTTTTACTTTCTGACTTAAATGCAGTATAATTAATTTTAAAAATATCATACGTATGTTTCAGAATGAGGCTTATGACCCGGCAGCCTCACCCGAAACGCCGGTTGAGGATTTCAACTCTCACACATATGAGGATATCTTAGCAACGGCCATCCTCAATAAGGTAAGTACACTGCGGTATATAACGTGCATTTGATGTGGACGTGCACACACACACACACACACACACACACACACACACACACACACACACACACACACACACACACACACACACACACACACACACACACACACAAACACACACACAAACACACACACAAACACACACACAAACACACACAAACACACACACTCACACACACACACATATGTGCATTTGGGGACTTAAATAAGCTTATACAAATACTGAGGGTACAATCCTGTTTAATTCTCCCCCTTTCTCTCTCTCTCTCTCTCTCTCTCTCTCTCTCTCTCTCTCTCTCTCTCTCTCTCTCTCTCTCTCTCTCTCTCTCAGTACACATACACAAATATATATATATATATATATATATTATATATATATATATATATATATATATATATATATATATATATATATATATATACATACACATACATATACGTATATATATATATATATATATATATATATATATATATATATATATATATATATATATATATATATATATATATATATACGTACACACACACACACACACACACACACACACACCACACACACACACACACACACACACACACACACACACACACACACACACACACACACACACACACACACACATTTGCACACTGGCGGTCATCTCTGCCCACAGAATTTGCTGAACCGACAGACGCGCCCAGTTTCTTATGTCACAAATATGTTGTAAGTAAACGAGGTTATAATTGGATACAAGGTAGACAGACAATCCCATTCAGAGACTTAACCGAGCTGACCTTCTGCGAGTGTGTCTCTTAAGGGAAAGAAAATGAAAGTGAAGGTCATGTTTCTTTTATATTTTTGCTTGTGTTTGAGGTTGATACCCCCTCCTCCCCCCTTCCCATTCCCTCTTTCTTCCGTCTGAAATGGATAGATAGATAGGTCTAAAAAAAAGGGGTTAAATCCAGAAATAGCAAACCAGGAATTTTAATTCTTCGAAATGGTCTTATCCACTTCCCCGAAAAGAAAAAAAAACACACACGGCCGTCGACATCATCAACGTACGTATATCATGCTGGGTCAAGCCATTATGACCTTTCAACCAGAAGGACATAAGGTCGTGCACGCGTGGCCAGGAAGGTGCGAAGCCACACCAGTGTCTCACAGGAAGCATCACACCGACTATGACAAGTCGATCAGATCACCGTCGAATGCCAATGCTCACTTCGAAGCTCGTAAATAAAGACACTGCGAACCTTCACACCGAGAGGTAGATAATAATGAGTTAATTAGCCTCTAATTAAGTTGGATGACTCACCTGTGCCGGCGTGAGTAATGAGTGAGATGTGAGGAGGCGCCGTGAGGAAGTGTGTGTGTCGAGTGCGGCAGTGAATGGGGAGAGACGACAGAGGGAAGGTGGTCCTGTCTGGCGCTCTGGACGGGCCGTGCAACCTCTCCGTCTCTCATTCATAAAAAAAAGAAATATTTACTACGAATATATTTACTATGTTACTACTACAACGCCGAGTCATCTGGTTGTGAAGAC